ACGTTTTGTGAGGGGATGATTGAAAACAGATCTATCTCCAAAACCCTGATGACATGATGAGATAGCTGCAGCATATGTCTTAACAGTGCTGAATGTGAGGCCCCTGTCCATCAGTATCTGCAGAAACGATAGGACATCCGCCAGCTGGCAGGAGAGCGCTTGAACATTCCGTTCTGCACACCAGTTCTGGAAAGCTGCCCATTTAGCAGCGTAAGACGCAATGGTAGAGGGCGCCCGCGCACTCTGAATCGTGGCGACCACATCATGCGGCAGCCCAGAAGCCTCTAAGCGTGACCGCTCAGCGGCCAGACCCACAGCCGTTGGCCTATTTCCGGAGGATGTTTGATTATCCCATCCGCCTGGAGAAGGGCGTCCGCCCTCTACGGGAGCCTCCACGGGGAGCCGGACACTAGCGCTTGCAGGTCCGGAAACCATGACGCGGACACTCGTCTGGGAGCCACCAGAATCACCGAGAGCTGTTCCGACCGAATTCGGTCCAGGAGACGGGGAATCAGAGGGACTGGTGGAAACGCATAAAGGAGCGTTCGAGGCCAGGGCTGGTGTGAGAAGGCGTCCGCCCCGAGCGGGGGTCCATCCCGGGGACTCAGGGAAAACCACAGGCGACACTGAGCGTTTTCGCAAGCCGCGAACAGATCCACAGACGGTTCCCCGAACCTGATCCAGATCTGTGATATCAGTGCAGGATGTAGACGCCAGTCGGAGTCGCGGGGTCCCCCTCTCGACAGGATGTCTGCCGCTACATTCAGTACCCCCGGAATGTAGATGGCTCTGATGGACAGCAGGTGGACATGTGTCCAACACAGTAAATCTGTGGCGACACGCAACAGTGGGAGGGATCGAACTCCCCCTTGGCAATTTATGTAGGCTGCCGCTACCCGGTTGTCTGTGTGAACTTCGACATGACGGCCCTCTAGAAGGGCAGCGAAGTGTCTGATCACATTCCTCACTGTCATAAGCTCCAACACATTTATGTGCTCGTGCTTGTGGGAGGGCCAGCGATCTGCCACCGTATGGGACAAGCACGTGCCCCCCCACCCCGACAGTGACGCATCCGTAAACACAGATACATGTGACGCAGGACGTCCGATGGGAACCCCGCGTGAGAGGATGCAGGGGTTCCCCCAGTGAGCGAGGTCCCCGCCCACTGAAGGGGGAATCCTCAACATACGTCTCTTCTGACGTATCGGGTGTACCCGGAGTCGGACGAACCAGCGTTGCAAGCGCCTCGTGCGCAGCAAACCTAGCGGCACTACTGAATGGGCTGCGGACATCATGCCCAGGAGTTTCATGACTAACCGGGCTCTCACGATCTTGCGGGGTTGAACACGGGAGATCACCGTGGAGAGATCTGCCGCTCTTGCAGGCGACAAACGTGCTCTCATTAGGGAGGCGTCCAACTCCACCCCGAGATACACAATCGACTGGGATGGAAGGATGGAGCTCTTTTCCCAGTTTATAGAAAACCCTAGGGTTGACAGATGCCCTGTCAACCTCCTGGTTTGCTGTGACGCCTCGTCCTTGGACCGAGCGCACAGGAGAAGATCGTCCAGGTAAAATAAGACCCTCATTCCCTCCGTGCGCAGTGGCTGCAGCGCGGTCTCCAGACATTTAGAGAAGGTGCGCGGGGCTAGCGAGTAGCCGAAAGGGAGGCGATTGAACTGATATTGAACTCCCTTGAACGAAAAATGCAGAAACTTCCGGTGGTTTGGAACTACTGGTATGTGGAAGTATGCGTCTTTCAGGTCGATTGACGTGAACCAATCCCCGGGGCGCACATATTCCAAGACTTGTCTCATCGTTAACATGCGGAAATGCATTACTGCTATGGAGCAGTTGAACAGGGACAGGTCGAGAATCGGCCTCATTCCTCCCGACTTCTTCGGTACTACAAAGTAGCGGGAGTAGAAACCCGAGAGTTCTTGTCCGCGAGGGACTCGGGAAATAGCGTCTTTGGACAGAAGTTCCCGCAGCTCCAGCTCTAGCGCCTGAGACTGTACTTGCGATGTGAACGTCGTCTCCACGATCCCGTTGAAGGGAGGTGGAGTGGCCTGAAAATGAAGTGTGTGACCGCAATGAATGGTGTCCGAAATCCATTTGCTCATGACGCAAAGGCAGCGCCACTCGTGCGCGTGTTCCGACAGTGGACGCGTGTGCGCGGTCACGTGAACAACGTCTGAGGGTTGTGCATGCGCCCTTACCGCCATCGCCCGTACCAGAGAACTGGGGGCGACCCATGGAGGGCTGCGCTCGAAAGGGCAAGTGCGAAACAGCTGGAACAGGCTGGTCCACACCGCGGAGCGTGGAGTCAGAGAGTGAAGGACGAGTGGGAGCCGGGCCTGTGCACGGGGGCGACAGAGTGCTAGCGGATGGAGCCGCGCACTGTGCCGCCGCGCGTGGTCGAGACAGCGACATGACATCCCGCCCCACCCAACGGCGTGGGGAGAGTGGGAAGAGTTGGGCCTGGCCGGATGCTGGGGCCAGAGCGCAAATGGAGCGCACCCTTACGGCTGGCCGTGTATTATGACTACCTGCAGGAACATGTGTGCGTGCAGCAGTGCTTGGTGTGGGGAACATGTGTGAAAACTCAGCAGAGGATTCTGCGGAGGACTGTAGGATTGAGCTCTTTGAGTGACGTTTTTTGGGTTTTATTTCAAAACCAACAACATCAGAACAATCAGTAACACACACATTCCCCCCAAAGAGTCACTTCCGTGGCTGCTTTCGGCGAGGCTCCTGCACCTGGGACTGCCAAGACGGCGTCTGCTGGCCCCGCCGGAACCGTTGTCCGCCATCTCGCTGGTCCCGCTGATGTGGAGCCGAAGCGGGAGGCCGGCTCCGTGGAGCGGGCGGTGCAGCTGGACGTCTGAAGCTTCCGCGCCGTTCGTCCCATCCTCTGGCTGAACGGCCGGAGTGCGAGGCTGACCGAGGGTGGACCAGGTCTCGCACCGTAGCCGATAGTTCGGCCGTCTTCTGAGCCCTCTCAATGACGCCCCTAAGATGGGGACCAAACAGAACATCGGTGGTGATGGGGCCATCCAGCATCTCCCTTTGCAGATGTTCCGGAATGGAGGGCAGGGCCTTCAGCCAGATCGCTCGCTGGATGAGGGTCTGCCAGGCAGCGATGCGAGCAGAACCGGTGAGCACAGCAGCACACAGATTGAGGATAGCATCAGCAGTCTTAGTTATGACGGCTTTCGACTCCTCGGGAGCTTCCAGCTCCTCCATCATCTTGGAGACGCCGAAGGCAAGAAGGGCAATGTTATTCCCTGCAGCGCCGGTCTGAAAGGCACACTGATGTGCGCGGTCGGTGAGCTGCGTCAGCAGCTGGTCATGTTTTGAAGCGGGAACAGCTCGCGGGCCAGCGAGGTGGTTCTTGGCGCCGAACAGCGAGGCCAAATCCGGCTCTAGTGGAGGAACGGACGGCCAGCCTTGGTCGGAGAACCCCTCGACCTTGGTGATGGGCGCATACGTGGAGACTGGCGCCTTGAGCTTGGCAGGCTCGGAGAAGGCGGCAGACCAGCAGCTCATAGCAGCGGGGAAGCGCGGCCAGACAGGGTCTGGACAGCGTGTCTGCGTTGCCCCAAAAATTCCCGCCAAATCATCCGCTTCAGGCAGGGCCGGTTCTGGCACAGCTAGCCCCTTGCGGGCTGCTGCCGCAGAAATGATGGCGGGCAGCTCCTGGAGCAGTGCTCTTACTACTGGCAGGGAGGAGCGAAAAGCCACTGGGGCAGAAGGACCCGCTGAGCGAAGCTCGTCGACCTCCGTTATGTCTAGGAGGGATGCCGCCTCATCGTAGTTTTCGCTGTCGGTGACGTCATCCAGCCGGTTGAAGCCAGCCGGCTCCTGACCGGCGTCGAAGAAAACCAAAGCCTTGTCCAGTGGGTAGGAGTCAGCCACCGGAAATTCTTCGTCGGCGGCGGGAGTGAAGTACTCGACCCGGCGAATCTTCTCTGCCACGGGCAGAGCGGCACAGAACGGGCACGAGGCCTGCGGGGTCAAGGCCAGGCCAGCGTGGTGAGCCCCGAGACAGACCTCACACTTAGCGTGCAGGTCGCCGCTGGAAATGGAGCCCGTCTGGCAGGTCGGGCAGGGTCTGGCGTCGCTGGACATGGCTGGTAAGTCGTCTTCGGATAATTTCGCTCTTTTGAGATAATATTTGCTCTTTAATAAAGCTCTCAAGCTTGGCATGAAGAGAAAAAGGAGGTGAGCAGTGGGGTCACTGCGGTTATATACCACGAGGGGCCCACTATTGGTGGGCGTACATTTAAGCTCTTCATGATTGGCTGATGCGGAGATCATCCTTCCAATAGCAGCTAGCTTAAGGGCTAAGACTAGACGAAATAGAACATATGAGCCAACTCTACTATGGCATCTCCGGTATGTAACTCTGTCATTTTCCCAGAAGGACCATCACAGCTCCATGTGATGCTGTTTGGTCTGGTTAACACCAATAACCAGCAGCATTTAACAGGTCTGCTTCTAGTTTCTTTGGCAGAATCCAGACTGAGTCCTCCGACTGATGATTAACTACTGTGTTGCAAGTGCTGTTAGCAAATGGAACAGCATTCATTAAAAAAGGTCTTGAAAGGTTTTCAAGTGTAACCAAAACAAATTCACTAGGTCGTATCAGTTTATCCACGCTCCTATCTTACTGAGATCCTGAGAATGTCATTTGCCACGTTTCAAACGAATGGATCCAATTAGGAATTCATATTTGATGACTGCACATATAGGAGTACAAACACAAGATAAGCATAATAGCACAATGTTGTGTCTTTCTTCATTTCTGTAGCTGTGCTGGGCATGGGTGTTTGTCTTTTTCTAGTTTCCCTCTTTATTTGGGAAATTTCTCCTGTTTAGCCATAAATTCAGTTAAAACTCAGCAGTCACACTAGATTTTCACCTAATCTGTTCTATTCATTCTCTGCTGATATTGTTGGTGTGGTTGAAGGGCAATCCCAACGTTTGTGTTTTCCCAGGTTGCTGGTTGGAGCTCCCTTTGAAAACACAGGACAGCAGCAGACTGGTGATGTGTACAAATGCCCACTGAACACCAGAAGTGCTGCCAACTGCAGCCGACTCAACTTGGGTAAGCCACAGATTAAATGCATTACAGCCTGATTGTTTCAGTAACATCAAGAATCTGTTAACAGTCGGCCATGACAGTGAAAATGAAGTCAGGTCGGGCAAAAACTATTGCACATTGTGAAATATTTGATACAAAATCTTCGAAATGAATTAGATTAATTTTGTCTTATGAACTTTGTGTAGCACCAGGACTACTTAAACTAACTCAACTGAAAGAAATTTTTACTGTACATGCAATATTAGCTAAAAATTGTGTTTTCATCACAAGCTTGTCAAACGTTAACCCATTGGTGCAAAATGTTTGCTTTTAAAAACAATTGTTCAAAGTTTGTTCTTGTGTGAGCAGTTTTCTAGTTTCATAAGTTTCATTACAGTCCAGTTAAAAGCAGTCAAGCTTTGCACATATGTCCAGCACCCTCCACACCGCCCCTCCACCGACGTCTGCTTTATCTGTCTCATCTTGCTGGTGCCATTATTTGCTCCTGAGCAAAATATTGTAACTCTATAACTGTCTTAAACCCATCTACCATTGTCTAGATTCAATCCCAGAAGAGACACTGCTGTAATTTTTATTCCAACTGAAGTAGCAGAGGAGGACCAGTTCTGTTTGTGAGTACGCACCAGGGACGATCCTAGCATCAGAGGTTTAGGGGTTTAAGGAGCATCCTGATAGCTGCCCGTCCAGGCAAGATTCGTTAAACAGTTTTGCACATTTGAACATAATTTCATTGCCACTTTTGTAAATTAAAAGCAAAACACTTAAAGCAGCTTTCCGGAGTTTTCCACTTTCACAAATTATGTATGATTTGTCAGAAATCCGTAAAAGTGATTATCTTATCATGTACTGTGATATAATGTAAGCAACACATCTTTTATTTATTTATTTTTGCTATGCACGCCCCCTGCCCCGCAGAGCCCCCTGCAATAGGAAACGCCGACCAGAACTAACCAATAGTGTTAAACTACCGCTTACCTGCTTCAAATTTAAGGAATACCTCAGCTGATGCACAGTTGATGAGCTTTTCACAGACAAGTAAGTCTCTAAAATGTAAATATATGAGAACACAGCATGACTTGAGAATAATACTCATAAAACAACCAGTTTTAGCTCTGTTTGTTGGCTACAGAAGCACATTTATAAACTAGAAACATGGAGTCGCCATCTTAAAAAAACAGAGCAACAGTTTTTTTGTGTGATATGCTTGTCAGCCACTAGATGGTGCCCTCGGATAAGATAAATACTCCAGAAATAAGCTTTAAGTGAATAAAGTGTGTTAGATTAGGGAAACAACAAAAAAATAAATTAAAATTAAAATTAAAAGAACTGGATGCAAGTCCTCGGGAAAGGGAGTTGGGGATACTGGTCTAGGTTTTGTAGTGTTTGAGGAGGACCAGTTCAGGTGTGGCCCAGATGCAAACCAAACAGGCCTAAATATACAAATAAAATGTTGAAATAATATTTTTTTTAACTTTCACAAATCAGATAAGTTTCACAAATCATAAAGTATGTTTTACGGACTCTGACATGTTCTGGGGAAGGGCTCTGACCCAAGACATGGAGAATCAACTACAGACACAGGTAAGTTGCAAAAAGTAAAATGTTTATTTAGAAACGGGAAATCAGGGAGCACTGGAAAAGTCCAGTGAGATTGGGTTTTGAACTGCAGCAGCACCTGTGGCAGAACAGAGTGGTTAACCTTGGTTGGGTGAGAGGATTTTAATGAAAATGATTCCAGTTCCAGATTTACAGTTGACTGAGGGAGAGGGGAGAAAAGGGGGGAGCACTGGTCCGAGATTATATAGGGTACTGATGAGGTGAGTGGAGGGAGAGCGCAAGGATAATTAGAAGAGGAAGAGACGTGGCCTAGGGTGGAGTTCCTGAATTTAATTCAATTCAAGTTTATTTATATATTGCCAGATCACGACAAGAGTCATCTCAAGGCACTTCACATAGTAAACATTCCAATACGGGTCATTAAACCAATTGGTTAAAAGTTGCCTATATAAGGAACCCAGCAAATTGCATCAAGTCACTGACTGGTGTCAGGGTTAGGGTTAGACAAGACAAGACAAGACAAGTTAACCAAGGCTACTGGTGTCAGTGACTTTACAGCAGTCCTCATACTAAGCAAGCATTTAGCAACAGTGGAGAGGAAAACTCCCTTTTGACAGGAAGAAACCTCCAGTTTTTACCATATGAACCCTCACGGCCTCTGCGCTCCTCTGGCAGGCGTCTCCTGGTCATCCCTAAAATTAGGACACACACTCACGGCGAGGCGTCCTTCCAGTGTTATGGCCCTCGCCTCTGGAACGAGCTGCCAGAGGACCTCAGGGCCGCAGAGAACGTTCATGTTTTTAAGTCCAGGCTTAAGACCCATCTTTTTAGGTTAGCTTTTATCTAAATATTTACTACAATTTTATTTCTCGTTCTACATGATTATATTTTATTGCTTGCTTTGCATGTTTTATATGAATATATTTTAGCACATTTTTATTATTTAATATTATTATTTTACTGTCTATATGATTTTATTTATTACTTATTTTCTAACTTTTGTCCCTTATATTAGCTCTTTTATTATATTTTTACTGATTTTAATCCAGTGTTTCCTCTGTAGGGGCCCTCTGCCCCGGGAGCAGTGGTCGACTGTAGCTTCCTGGGCGCTCTATAGGTGGGGGTCTATGCTCCCCCTCCACTGAGCGCCCTGACTTAGTGTGGAAGACCTGATGCTGCCGGGACAGACGGCTCCTCTGATGCTGTTTCCTTGCCTTACCTTACTGGGCTCATCTGGACTCAGCCAAATATAATTTTTTACTTGTGTGTGTGCGTGTGTGTGTGTGTGTGTGTGTGTGTGTGTGTGTGTGCTTGCATATGTCTGTTAATGTTTTTAACCTGTTATGGGAATCTGGGGTCATTTTGTAAAGCACTTTGTTTGAAAAGCGCTTTATAAAATAAATCTGATTGATTGATTGATTGAGTTGTCTCCATCCTCCCCTCATACCACACTGGTGATCAGCTGCAGCCGTGTGCGCTCTCCAACTCCACCCATCTGAAAAAACAAGCTTAAATTAAAGCTGCAAGCAGCGTCGTTCGGCCCTCGCAGCTCCGCGCCGCTCCGGCCTGGCCGGCAGCCCGGGGCACCAGGCTACGTCTGCGAAACAGAAACATCGACCACCCCGACACCCGAAACTGCTAACGGCCACCTCGTCCGCACCTCACCCTGACTCAGCATCCCCTTTGAGCCCACCATTATATTTTATGTCTCACCACTAGGGAATCCTCTATCTTAACCACACTGGTGATGTGATGACAGTGACCAACTTTAATGCTATTCTGACCATGTTTTTTAAAGTTTTTGAAGGATAACGTTATCTAGGGGGCGCTGTGACCAACTACAGAAAAGTCCCATTGAGGTCAGCTTTGGTGACATTATATAACATTCACCAACCGTTTGTGCCTCATTGGCTAAAGGGCATGATTGTTCATTGCCATGTTCAGTCTCGGGCAAATCGGAGGCCGTTTGTGGAAGTTACAGTCAAATATACGGTCATGGCGTCATGCCAGCATTCACCATGGCATCAAATCCCCTCCCTTTCTGGAAAGCTATCAGATCTGAATGGTCATTACAACATCATGAAGACAGTGTATGACCTTAGTGTCATGTTCACTAAATTAGATGGGACAAATATGGGTATTTCACCATAAAACAATATACTTCCTGTTGTCAGGGGGCGTGGCTTAGGTGATGTCAGCTGTCCACATTGTCGTTGTCTTGAGATGTGGTCAGTGATCACACAGACAAAGTTTGAAATAGATCTGTTCATGCACTTGGGAGTTATTAAGTCATGTAATGTAATGGCGAAAGGTTAAAGTTTGAGGCTTAGCCACGCCCACACCTTTCAACTTTTGAAAAATCCGACGGTTGAATTTTTTCCTCTATGTCTTAAGAGTATATAGCAGAAATTTGAAGGAGATTGGTGAAAAGGACGATGGAGCATCACTGTCCATACAATGTGATAGAAAACCACTAAATCGAGTATTTGGACCAAAATGGCCGACTTCCTGTGCGACTTTGCGCTTGACTCCAGGAGACTTTTTTGTAGGTCCTGAGACACCACATTAGTGTACCAAATTTTGTAAACCTCAGTCAAAGCTTGGCTTGGGGCTGACAGTTTTAATGGCTCTAGTGGGCGCTATTTGAGAAAATAGGCCACGCCCACAAACACAGCTGTGAATTTCTCTTGGGGGTCAGAATAGGATCACTCACCAGAAGTTTAGTAGCAATATCACGATAACTGAAGAAATGAGAGGCAAACGTATTGCCATGGCGTGATGGCGATTTTCGCCATGCTCCCAAAGCCCCGCCTTTTTTCGAAACCTGCCAGTACTGCATACCAAGTGATCTCAAGTGGTCTACTGCTATTTGCCTGAGATTCCTGGTGATTGGGTAAAAGGAGTCCAATAGGGAGCTGTGAAAATAAGAGTGGCATGGCGAAAGGTCAAAGTTTGAGGCTTAGCCACGCCCACACCTTTCAACTTTTGAAAAATCCGACGGTTGAATTTTTTCCCCTACGTCTTAAGAGTATATAGCAGAAGTTTGAAGGAGATTGGTGAAAAGGGCGACGGAGTATCACTCTCCAAACAACGTGTGTGAAAACCACTAAATCGCGCACTTGGACCAAAATGGCCGACTTCCTGTGCGACTTTGCACTTGGCTTCAAGAGACTTTTTTGTAGGTCCTGAGACACCACATTAGTGTACCAAATTTCGTAATCCTCAGTCAAAGCATGGCTTGGGGCTGACAGTTTCAATGGTCCTAGGGGGCGCTATTTCAGAAAATAGGCCACGCCCACCAGATGTTCACATCAGATCTTTTGGGGGGCCGGACTAGGATCACTCACAAGAAGTTTCGTGACGATATCTTTGGAAATGACGAAATGGGAGGCAAACGTAAGGCCAAGGCGGTACGCCTGAATTCGCCGCGCCGCCACAGCCCCGCC